TTGGCCCGGCCGGCGGAGGGCTGTGCCGGCGCCGCCCCCCGTCCCCCCCCTCCCCGGCCCCGCTGAGGGCACCGGGCTCGCTCGGGGGCTGATCTCTGCCCCCCGGCACGGGCCCGAGCGGCCGGTTCGACGCAGGGATGCCGGTGCTGACCCCGCCGGGGCATCAGCGCCGGAGACGTCCAGCGTGCTGCGGGAGTGAGGCCCGAGGGTGAGCTGTGTAGCTGTGGTTTCGAAAGGAAGAACAGTTTATACAGCTCCTTGTATTTCCTATTAGATCTACTAAAAATGGTTACTCAGTATGAAGGTGTACATCTTTCATAGAAAACAGATTCCAGCAAATACGCGGAAAAAAAAAAAAAAAAAGTGTCATCCTTCTTCCAGCATTCAGCAAGGATCTGTAAGGATTTAACAGAAGTTTCAGCAACAGCTATTTCTTATTTAACTTTTGTTGTTGTTGTTGCAGGAGGCAGGAGAAGGCAGGCAATCGCCAGCATGAGCTGGCACTCCGGTTTTTGGGTTGTGCGTTCCTAAACACCGAGGCAGCTGTTCTGTACATCATTTCGGAGGAAGAACGTTTTCTGTCTGAATTGCCGTGGTATCTCACAGCACAAGTATAATTCTCCTATCTTCGTTTCTCCTTTTCAGCTGAAATGAGCATCATCCAGCCTGAACCTTTTTCTCTGTCTCTTTGGGAATGGAAAGGACAGCTTTTATAATAATTATGCCTTTCCCAGAGTGGCGGGCATTACTTGCAGTCCTGAACCGAGATGCCGATGATGCTCCCGCGACAGTGCTTTCTGTGAACCCCGCTTGGAGTCCGGCACATTTGAAACTGCTCAGCGAGTTCTGCTGACTCACAGTGCCACAACAGATGCGGTTTAATAACTTCAGCAGAGCATCAGAAAAGTGGTGGAAGCATCAATTCAAAGGAAAGAAGGGGGAAAGCCAGGAAAGCCTTTAAGAAATGCGGAAGAGATTGTTGACCTAGGGAGTAGGTAGAGACCACTTTACACTCCTGTCATTACTTACATGAACAGTGAGGTCATCCTAAATCAAGAGTACGTTAGAAAGTAGGTGGGGAGTGGGATCACCTGCAAACAGCTCATACCGATGTTTTTTGAAAATGTATACCACAGAATCATAGAACCATAGAATGGTTTAGGTTGGAAGGGCCCCTCGTCCCACCCCCCCTGCCATGGGCAGGGACACCTCCCACTAGAGCAGGTTACTCAAAGCCCCATCCAACCTGGCCTTGGACACCTCCAGGGATGGGGCAGCCACAGCTTCTCTGGGAAACCTGTGCCAGTGTCCCACCATGCTCACAGTAAGGAATTTCTTCCTAATATCTCATTTAAATCTCCCCTCTTCCAGTTTAAAACCATCACCCCTCATCCTATGGCTTCACTCCCTGATCAAGAGCCCCTCCCCAGCGTTCCTGTAGCCCCTTTAGACACTGGAAAGAGCAATAAGGTCTCCCCAGAGCCTAATTATACAGAGTATAATAGTACTTGTTCTCCATTTGTGGTGGCTTTGAGGAATAAATATGTTTATTTTTCTCCTTCATCTTAAATTAGTTGCCACTGGTATGTTATAACCTTTATTCTTCAGAGCACTTTTTATCTTAATCATATTCACACATTTTTACACAGTTCTTTAATGTATTTATTAAATGGATTTTTACAGCATTATTCCTGCTGCAGAATGTTTCACTGATATTTAAACATTTTGGGGAAGTGTGGTAACTTCAGGAAAATTTGTAACTCCAAAAGATCCGAATACAAGACTTTATCAAACACTATCAAAGTTAAGTAAGAATCTTGAAACAAAATGATTTGGGTTTCCTGTTTTGAAGTGTTTCATTTTGCTGATACCAGTGCTTTATTTCAGCTATCATTCCACTGGACTTATTTTAGACTTTATTAAAATTGGCATCAGTAGGTTAAGCTCAAAATTCATAGTTGTACCAGAACAGAATATGAATGTATTGAAACATGACATTATTGAAGCCATCTTCCTAAACAATTTCTTTCTGAATGTTTTTTCTTTAAGAAATGTCACCATTTCCAACCAATCTAAAACCCAGTCTGCAGAGACAGAAAGATGTATGAGTTTCTTTCCAGATATGGTAGAGCAGGTTTTCAGAGGTGTCGAACATTCTTGGCTCCTGTAGAAATGAAGCACAGGAGCTACAAAGGAGGAATTTATTTTGCTCCAATATAGACAAACTTAAGTGACGTGTATCAGGGAGATCCAATCTTAGGAAGAAGAAAGTTGGCATATGCCTTCATTTTAAACTGCCCTTTTTTTTTTTAATCTTAACCCTTGAACAATTTCAGATGGGGGAAAGATATTTCATCTGGTGCGCCACTGTGCTGCATTTTGCTGCAGAACGTTGCTAAATAAATCACAATCCTGTGTTTACATTGCAGAGCCAGTTCAGGCAATGCCAAACCTGTGACCACACCAAGCCCCAGGGTAATGTTTACCCAGTTCCTGATCAGGAGCAAGTTGACTATTCCTGTGACTTTCTGTGGCCCAATGCTGTAAACTGCAACTCATGCGCTGCTTCATGCTAATTAAAGGGGTGAGGGTTGATTAAGATCTTGAGCCCTCCGGCAATCAGAACTATCTTCCTCTTCATCTTTGCTTCAGCTACAGGTCAAAGCAGGTTTCCCTTGTTTAGCTGGAACCTCTCACACCTTGTCTTCTAACCCTTTCAACAACCACAGGGGCTCAGACAAGGGGTGGACACTTGTGACGTGGCACAATTCAGTGAAATTCCGTGGCTGTTTGCTTTGGAATAAGATGAGGCATCTCCATTCACTTCATTAGTTATCGAAGTATATTTTCTCAATGAATGATTAAGAGCAATTTGATCAGCACCCGGCAAAAGTCATGATAGAATTTTTTGCAAGGAGTGGAAAGAAGGTGGTGAAGTGATTTGCACTGCCTGTAGTTTAAGCTTTTTATATTTTATTTTTATTTTTTATTATTACAGGACAGATGTTACTCTGCAGCACATGGGCAGGAGGAAGGGCTGAGCCTTCTGTATCAGGACAGGCCTCCCCTTTCTCCAGGCGGTCAAACCACCAAGTCAGATCATGTGCTAACATGGCACTGCTGGAGTGAGCCTGTAGGCGGGAGGGAGCACGAAAAACCCCTGCATGTGCTGCACTGCAGCTTCTTCTTGGCTTTGAGAGACTCAAAGAAGAGTCCTGGTGCTGCACAGCATGTGGAACTGGTCATCACCAGTCAGGCTGCTAGAGAGAAACTCATGAGAAGCGTGATGGGCTACCATTTCCTCAGGTCTCTGCTGTATCTACAACTGATTCATTACTGCAAGATTCACAGGAAGGCCAGATACAACTTCGTTTCACAGTGCTTCACTAGAGGATATGTGTGAGTGAAGCCAAGCTTCTCCAGGTTATGGTTGTTTTGTGCATAACTTCCGGCCTAACTTCTTGCCTAACACGTTATAATCTCAGCTATTGTCTGGAAACTTTTCTGAATGTAGCCTGGACCAGCAGCTTTTCAATGATAAACCAGTGAAAGTTAGTACTGAGGGATGAAAGCTCATTTCTGATTTTTGCGTTCAAAATCACAAAGGCTAACTCTGGGCATGGGATGTGCTTCAGCCAGCTGCGGCAAGGTTCTTGTAGTGGCTCATGGGAGGAGGCCCATCTAGTGGCTGCTTCAGCCCAACTCTGTTTCCCGTAATGTTTCCTGGAATGAGCTGTTGCCCATAGACACTGCTCTGGAGGATTGGCCTCACTAGCTGGAAAACAAACTGTCATTTTACAGTCAACTAAATCAGGTGTTGCTGTTTAGAGAAGCAGTCCCTCCAAAACCTGCCACTTGTTCTCACCTTCTGCCATGCCCTCCTTTACAACAGCACAACTGCTCACATGGCTGTGCGTATACAGGATCAGGGAGCCAGGAACTGACCTGGACTAAAACTCAGAAAGTTGACAACAGTATTTTAGTCTTAATCCAAACCAATTCCCCAGTCTGGATCACCATCCTTCTTCCTACCTGTTTACAGTGGCACAAGGCAGTGAAGAGGCTGGAAAAAGGCGGCCAGGTGGAGAAAGCAGCAAGCTGCCTCTTTTGATGGCAGACCCATTTTACAGCAGCAGCAGAGGCTGGTGAAAGCATGGTGTTCACCCCTGTGACTACTCCCTTACCCACCTAACAACCTATGCCGTTTACACTGCAGTATTTTGATGTTATAAAGAAAAGAAGGACTAGTGAGGACTGGCTGAGACTCATCAGTATTTCTGAGAAGGAATTCAGCCAGAAAGGCTCAAAAGAGGTTAACAACAATGCCTGGCAGACGACTAGATCTGTGTGGGCCAATGCAGTGCCCTTCAGGGATTCCTGAGCTAACCGTCACCAGCCCCAGTGGAGCACTGCTTAGATCGCTACCTGGCACACTGGTAGCACAGCAAACTCTTATGTTCCAGCCATAAAAACAGGATAACTAGGGGTTTTTTTGAAATTACAAGGAAACCACCATTATAAGAAGGTAAGTCTTTCTTTATGTACAGCTCAAAAGTTTGGCTATCCTGAGGTCTGATGAATCTAAGTGCTGCAGGAAGGTAAAAAAGGGTCTGGCTGCCAAGTTTGCTCAGTTGGCTTGTAGCACTTTGGGTGCAGACTCTGAATGAGCTCATAAGTCAAGGAAAGCATATCATCATCGAACAAAGAATTTAAAACCACAAAAAACATGCGGCCAAGATGCAAAAGATGAAGTCCTGTGCCAGTATAATTATCTCAGTAAGACTAGATTTTTCAAACTGAATTATGTTTGTTAGTCAAATTCCATGTGTGGATACAGACTGCACTGCTATACATTGCTGTAGCTCTCTTGCTGTCTATTATGGGAATAAGCTACACGGAAATGATGCTCATGCAAACTTTCATTACAGACACATGGAGAGATTTACTTACCTGATTGCTTCAGCTCAGTTAAAATGATTCAAACTATGCGTGAAAATAAGTCCTGAAAGACTGTCCTCTGAGGAATTTGGGTGACCTGACAGTGCATTAGGTTTGGATTGAGACTTGCATAAGGATTAGGCTGGACTGAGGTTTGCTCTACCTACAGTTTCATGTCAACAGAGTTACTCAGGTTATAGGTGGTGGGGTTTTTTAATTGGGTAGTTTTAAGTACCTATGAGAATTCTGGGAGCATTCTCCCAGTAAAATGAGCCATCTTTCCACAAAATAATCAATCATATATCATAGGAGGTGATTATTTGATATCATATCAAAGGAGGTGATTCTGCTCCTCTACTCCACTCTCGTGAGACCCCATCGGGAGGACTGCGTCCAGCTCTGGAGTCCGCAACATAAGAAAGACATGGACCTGCTGGAGCATGTCCAGAGGAGAGCCACGAGGATGATCCGAGGGCTGGAACACCTCGCCTATGAGGAGAGGCTGAGAGAGCTGGGGCTGTTCAGCCTGGAGAAGAGAAGGCTCTGGGGAGATCTTATTGCCACCCTCCAGTACCTAAAGGGGGCCTACAGGAGAGCTGGGAAGGACTTTTTACTAGGGCATGTAGTGACAGGGTGAGGGGGAATGGCTATAAACTG